ATTACGTTCACATTTAATGTAGCACCGTTACTCTACTTATTACGTTCACATTAAATGTATCGCCGTCTCTCTACTTATTACGTTCGCATTGAATGTATCGCTGTCACTATAATTATTACATACACATTCAATGTATCGCCGTCACTATAATTTTTACGTACACATTCAATGTATCACCGTTACTATAATTATTACGTACACATTCAATGTATCGCCGACACTATAATTATTACGTTCACATTCAATGTATTGCCGTCACTACAATTATTACATACACATTCAATGTATCGCCGTCTCTATAATTATTACGTTCACATTCAATGTATCGCCGTCTCTCTACTTATTACGTTCGCATTGAATGTATCGCTGTCACTATAATTATTACATACACATTCAATGTATCGCCGTCTCTATAATTATTACGTTCACATTCAATGTATCGCCTTCTCTCTACTTATAACGCTAACGTGTAATGTATCGCCGTCACTATAATTATTACGTACACATTCAATGTATTTAATGTATCGCCGTCACTATAATTATTATGTTCACATTTAATGTATCGCCGTCACTATAATTATTACTTTCACATTTAATGTATCGCCGTCACTCTACTTATTCCGTTCACATGTAATGTATCGCCGTCACTATAATTATTACGTTCACATTTAATACACATTCAATGTATCGCCGTCACTATAATTATAACGTACACATTTAATGTATCGCCGTCACTATAATTATTATGTTCACATTTAATGTATCGCCGTCACTATAATTATTATGTTCACATTTAATGTATCGCCGTCACTATAATTATTATGTTCACATTTAATGTATCGCCGTCACTATAATTATTATGTTCACATTTAATGTATCGCCGTCACTATAATTATTATGTTCACATTTAATGTATCGCCGTCACTATAATTATTATGTTCACATTTAATGTATCGCCGTCACTATAATTATTATGTTCACATTTAATGTATCGCCGTCACTATAATTATTATGTTCACATTTAATGTATCGCCGTCACTATAATTATTATGTTCACATTTAATGTATCGCCGTCACTATAATTATTATGTTCACATTTAATGTATCGCCGTCACTATAATTATTACATTCACATTTAATGTATCGCCGTCACTATAATTATTACGAACACATTCAATGTATCGCTGTCAGTCTAGTTATTGCGTACACATTAAATGTATCGCTGTCAGTCTAGTTATTCCGTACACATTCAATGTATCGCTGTCACTCTACTTATTACGTACACATTTAACGTATCGCCGTCACTCTACTTATTACGTCCACATTCAATGTATCGCCGTCAATATAATTATGACGTACACATTCAATATACCGCTGTTAGTATAGTTATTGCGTACACATTCAATGTATCGCTGTCAGTCTAGTTATTACGTACACATTCAATGTATCGCCGTGTCTCTACTTATTACGTACACATTTAATGTCTCGCCGTCACTATAATTATTACGTTCACATTGAATGTATCGCCGTCACTATAATTATTACGTACACATGTAATGTATCGCCGTCACTCTAATTATTACGTACACATTCAATGTATCGCCGTGTCTCTACTTATTACGTACACATTTAATGTCTCGCCGTCACTATAATTATTACGTTCACATTCAATGTATCATCGTTACTATAATTATTACATTCACATTCAATGTAATATCGTCACTATAATTATTACGTTCACATTTAATACACATTCAATGTATCGCCGTCACTATAATTTTTACGTACACATTCAATGTATCCCCGTTACTATAATTATTACGTACACATTCAATGTATTTAATGTATCGCCGTCACTATAATTATTACGTTCACATTCAATGTATCGCCGTCACTATAATTATTACGTTCATATGTAATGTATCGCCGTCACTATAATTATAACTTTCACATTTAATGTATCGCCGTCACTCTACTTATTACGTTCACATGTAATGTATCGCCGTCACTATAATTATTACGTTCACATTCAATGTATCGCCTTCTCTCTACTTATAACGCTAACGTGTAATGTATCGCCGTCACTATAATTATTACGTACACATTCAATGTATCACCGTCACTCTACTTATTACGTACACATTTAATGTATCGCCGTCACTATAATTATTACGTACGCATTCAATGTATCGCCGTCACTCTACTTATTACGTACACATTCAATGTATCGCCGTCAATATAAGTATTACGTACACATTCAATGTATCGCTGTCACTATAATTATTACGTACACATTTAATGTATCGCCGTCACTATAATTATTACGTACACATTCAATGTATCGCCGTCACTATAATTTTTACGTTCACATTCAATGTATCGCCGTTTCTCTACTTATTACGTACACATTCAATGTATCGCCGTCATTATAATTATTACCTACACATTCAATGTATCGCCGTCACTCTATTTATAACGTTCCCATGTAATGTATCGCCGTCACTATAATTATTACGTACACATTCAATGTATCGCTGTCACTATAATTATTACGTACACATTCAAGGTATGGCCGTCACTGTAATTATTATGTACACATTCAATGTGTCGCCGTCACTATGATTATTACGTTCACATTCAATGTTTCGCCGTCACTATAATTATTACCTACACATTCAATGTATCGCCGTCCCTCTACTTATTACGTACACAGTCAATGTATCGCCGTCACTATAATTATTATGTACACATTGAATGTATCGCCGTCACTCTACTTATTACGCACACATTCAATGTATCGCCGTCCCTCTACTTATTACGTTCACATGTAATGTATCGCCGTCACTATAATTGTTACGTTCACATTCAATGTATCGCCGTTTCTCTACTTATTACGTACACATTCACTTTATCGCCGTCACTATACTTATTACGTACACATTTAATCTATCGCCGTCACTCTACTTATTACGCACACATTCAATGTATCGCCGTCCCTCTACTTATTACGTACACATTTAATGTATCGCCGTCACTCTACTTATTACGTACACATTCAAGGTATGGCCGTCACTATAATTATTATGTACACATTCAATGTATCGCCGTCACTATAATTATTACGTTCACATTCAATGTATCGCCGTCACTATAATTATTACATACACATTCAATGCATATATATGTATCGCTGTCAGTCTACTTATTACGTACACATTCAATTTATCGCCGTCACTATACTTATTACGTACACATTCAATGTATCGCCGTCACTATAATTATTACGTACACATTCAATGTATCGCCGTCACTCTACTTATTACGTTCACATTCAATGTAACTTTTTTAGCATCGCTAACAAAAATTGCTGTGTCTTTACTTTTCCTATTTAATTTAGTGACATTTAACATATTGCCGTAACTCTTTAGATTTCGTTTACATCTCACATTTAATACGCACATCTTTTAGGTACATGTATTTTACTCTATTTTGCCGTCGGGTTATACTTCATTTAGACAATGTATTTTTCCAATTATTTACGACATTTTTTGCATAGCCGAGTTATATTTAAACAGCTGCTGTAACCGTCACATGTTCCACCTACATACTCGTTAAAGCGTTGAGCATTGTCGTGAATCTGGCTTTATTAACATCGCCATGTTCGACGCCGACACTAATTTGTGTGATAATTTGACAAAACCTGTTTACCTCTGGATAATTCAACTGACAATATTCAATAATTTGCTGAATGGCACGCAATTATATGGAAAAAAATCAGATAATTAATATTGAAATGCGAAAACAAATAAAATATTGTCTCTTATCTTTTTTTCTTAATTGTAACATGTAACAATTGGTTTTAAACAATTGAAAGTATTAATTTTCATCTAATTTTTGAACGATTTGTCTTTTTGAAATAACTTTATACCAACAAGTAAGAGTATTTTGTTAAACAACTCAACAAAACTATAAGATGTGTGATACAATCTATTTTTAAACATCAATACACTTAATGTACGTGAATCGTTACAACCACCTACGCCGCTACAAATGGATTTCATTACGACATTAGTGTATGAAGTTTAGTATCGCGGCTTATTTTTACATAATTTCACGATCACGTAATTCGCCCGCGAAATCGCGAAACATCATCCCCGCGAAATATCCTGCTATACGGTGATAAACATATTCAATTAATTCTGTTTTAATATTATTTATTGATCAAAACAGTATATCAGATCAATAATATCTTTGTTTACTCACTGAGCGTGTGTTTGATAATACTACACGTCGTGTGAATTGACGTGCATGTTAAAGTCCAGTGCAGGTCTGATCCTCGTAAACAATTACCACATTCCAACCACATATTCCAGCTGTTAAAACAAACATGTGGGAGAGTCAGAAAAACACATAATGCTTGCCATCTTACTTAAAATGTAGTTAAACTCGCCGCGTAACAAATTATCATGATTTGTTTATCTTTTATTATTTGCTTATATTATACATATAAACTCATATTTAGAGCAACTAGAAATAGTACACAGAGATCCTACATAGAAGTTCCCTTGGGGACTAAAGGGTCGGATAGGAGACTTCTATCTATATCGAGTGAGCGTGTCTGCTAGATTGGAAGTGACCAAATGTCCAGCAATTTCTTATCAGTCTTGGCAGCCGTAACGCCGGTCAATTCTGTCGGCCTCGCGTGAGAACGTGCATCATCAAGACAAACCCAATACTCAGTCATCTTTTACAATTGTCGAAAACAAATGAACACCGGTAACTAAATACGCTACATTGGGAGGCCAATAATTTAGTGTAAACTCCCCAGGACTCAGGGGGTGTCGCGGCTCCTGTGGTTACGTAGAACTTGCGTGCGTAACCATTTGTCGAACGGTCCATCGATCGAACGGCAACTGAAATGTGGGAGGTGGAAGGCAGCCAATAGGATCAGCGTCATAGCACCACGTGACTTTGTTCTATTTAAACTCATCAATAGCTACATTTGACTAAGATTGCAACACTGGATCGTACACTTTTTGGAGAAAAGTTTTCACTTGAAAAGTTGACATTATACCGTTGCGCATCGACAGAGAGTTACATCGAAGCAGGTTGGTGACTATTGTTTCTTTATCTCCATTTTATACCATAGGACCAAAGTATCTAACATTGAGAATTACTGTCCAGGTAAGTACGTTTACAGACATTGCTAGTCTAATGCAATTCGAAGTATTCTGTTTTGGTGTATAAGAAAATATTTTTTAAGCCATGCCATGCTCTAGAAATTCTGCAGCTTATTTTACATAAAGACCTGTCCGTTTACTATTCGGAACTATGTCGGATTTATTGATAACTTTATTAAGTTCAACGACGGAATCAAATTTCTGAAAAAATCTGCTTGATAATAGTGACACAATTTCCAAAAGTAAACTGCATTAAACATTGACTTTGTAGAATACAAACATCGATGCAACAATACATTTTTTCAAATTAAAATGCACGTATAAATGTTTTGCTTCTATACAAATGTTTGGGTTATCAAAATGAATAAACAGATATGCTTAAAAACAGACATATATAAAGGTATTCATAGACAATAAATTCGCAGGTTGTCGTTGTATGTTTAAATAAGTAAAACCATTACCGTTAAGTCTCGAAACCTATCAATATCACCTAAACTTGAGTGCAGATACCGTACACACCAATTAACCAAATGTCTTCCGCCCCTGTGCAATGCTTCCGCTACTTTTAGAACTGAACGGTTTGATTGAGACGTGTCCTACAATTAGAGTCGTTTGTTTAGGACCGTGCTGGCTCTACTGAGGGATGAGAGTTGGGCCAATAACTTACCTATGGCATGTTAATTCCTCCAGATAGTCACCATAATTCCTATACTAACGCTGATATGAACATTTCAGAATGTTAGATCTGAAGAATGATTTTTTTTCCCGAAAACACTAATAACTTCCGCACCAGTGAAAAGCATACCGTGGTATTGCGCATTCTTTAACAGTAGTCAAACATTGTGTATTCTCAGAATAGAAACGATGGGTGTTTTTACTCATAGTTACAAATACTATTTTGTAATGGTACTTTAATTACAGTACAGTAGAAACATTACCTGTGTTCGTTCTAGGAATGCACCTGACCGGCATATGACAATATTAATTATGACATTGAATGGTCTTGACATGTAATGATTATTTTTGGCATACCGCATCTATAACCAAATTACATAGATGTTACATGTGTGTTCGTTAATCTTTCCCGGTACAAAGTATTAGACTTTACTGGTTGATTTTTAAGTGCCGAGGTTTGCCGTAACCTTGATAGCCACACAGTAATGTCAATTGGGTAGTAGCGCGGTTTGCCGTAACATTGATAGCCACACAGTAATGTTAATTGGGTAGTAGCGCGGTTTGCCTTAACCTTGATAGCCACAGTAATGGCAATTGGGTAGTAGAGCGGCTCATCATCTACACACTTTATACTTTATTTATTTAAAATCAACCAGTACTTCTGTATTTTTTAAACCATATAATCAACAGGTCTCGCGCACGTCCACTTCTGTTTCAATAGTAGTTTAGACTTATTTGGATCCTCGCCTTTCCCCCTTAAACATCACCACTGAGTCATAGAAGGACCACACAGCCGATGGTGCAGTGTGATACGTTTTTTGGCAAAATATATTTATTACCACATTTTATCGGAGGGGACACACTGTCTTTAAAACTTCCGCAATCGGCTACACAAAACAAAGTGTAGAGAGTGGTCAACACACCTGTTATTCTAATTAATTACTAATACATTTTACCCCATTGAACAGAATAAATTTTACAGATGTATAATAAAATATGCATATTTTTAGGAAACCGCGTCTCTAGTTTTGTCTAAATGCGATGTCATGGTGATAATGTTAGTTCTAGGCAGATAAGTGTCATTGACGTGGTCTTTAATACGGTAGACTATGACAATGTTACAATGTCGTTCTTGGTAGGAATGTATAAATCAGGAACAAAACATGTAACTTTATGTCTGAATTAACCTTACTATTCATAGTTACTTTTAGATTTTCCCAATGACATGCAAATCAAAAGCACTGAAAACTCCGTAGACAGAGTTTCCAATCACGGTCCAATACGGTGTTCGCTCTAATCACGGCCCAATACGTACGGTGTTCGCTCTAATCACGGTCCAATACGGTGTTCGCTCTAATCACGGCCCAATACGGTGTTCGCTTTGATTCACGGAGATGACATTGTGTTTCCTTCCAGCCCGATGTTGAAATTTCATTACGAATATCGTCATATAACAGGCTAATCTGGCAGGAATGGATTATTCAATGTTATAAATACATCAATGTTCCTTAATATACCTTCTCTACGGCGACTTCATTAAGGAATCTACCTATATGCATGCCCGCGCTGACGACCCATATACCCGGAACAACCTCTGTCATCATAAAGAGAATTACTCAGTTCTCGTGTAACATCGCCCGACCTCGTCCCCATGGGATTCGGGCACAATATTATTCGATATGCTATATATTGGTTGTAAATATATTAATACTTGTATTAATAGACATGAATGAGTAATGAATATGTGGGTTGTAAGTACCCCAGATTACCTTATCATAACTATATATGGTAATTCAATATTTATCGTAACGCTAAAAGTCAAACACGGGGCATTGGATCGCACTAGTCTCGTTCAACAAGACGCTTGATCACTTTGTAATTAATTCTCTATTCGACGTAGCTTGCACAGACAAGAGTCGGGTTGAACGAGACTAGGGATCGCATAGGGACGGTGGGACGAACTGACCGTCCAATTATTAAATCAAATGTCAAGGTGGTAATCACTGCATATATGATAACCTATAATACAATATATGGTATAGCTATGCCTTTGGGACAGTCGTGTAGGTGCATACGGGCCATTTAAAATTAAAATAATTGATTATTTAATCGAATATATTAACCTGATGATCAGGATTCTGGTATATACAATGTCGGTGTAGTGGTCAGCGTATTAATCATAAGAGGTTATTCTATTTTGTTTTTAGAATATGTTGTTTATGTAACCTTCACCAGTTTTGACTTAAGTATAGACCTGTGAGAGGTCAATCATATTGAAGTTGTATTTAGATAGATAAAAACTATTTACATAAGTAACATCTCAGATATATAGCAATATGAATACGATTGGAAAGTAAACACCAGCAAGTCGTTAGCGAATGAATATGTTCGTGGAGAGTAATTAGTCTCTGCACCACAATTAATACTCGTCTTACTATTTCTCGTCAAATCCATAAAAGTGTCACTAAGGCAGCGTGAACATGAAACTTGTTAATGCATCTATATACCTAATATCACATCATTCCCTAACGTTACCGTCTATCATCATCATACGACATTCTGTCAGTAATATCACATCACCCTTAACGTGACTGTGTATCGTTCTCGTACGACGTTCTGTCAGATAATATCTCACCAATCCCTAACGCTACTGTATATCGCCTGCATACGATGTTCCGTCAGAAAATATCTCACCAATCCCTAACGCTACTGTATATCGCCCGAATACGACGTTCTGTCAGAAATACCATACCTTTCCCTAACGCTAATGTATTTCGTCTGCATACGACGTTCTGTCAGAAAATATCTTACCAATCCCTAACGCTACTACTGTATATCGCCCGCATACGAAGATCTGTCAGAAAATATCTCACCAATCCCTAACGCTAATGTATATCGCCCGCATACGACGTTCTGTCAGAAACACCATACCTTTCCCTTACGCTAATGTATTTCGCCTGGATACGACGTTCTGTCAGAAATACAACACCATTCCCTAACTTTAGCGTCTATTATCATTATACGACTTTTTCCATAACTTTGAGATCGTGTTCAATTCTCAAACAATTAGGGCTTTATTTCCTCAATGTATAATATTTTTTTCATTATTTATTTAGCATGAATACTGCTTAAATATCAGAAAGAAATCTATGAACTCTTGATGGTGATATTTACATTTAATCAGATTTTAAGATTTAAAACCTATTTTCACAGTAGTTCCGGTTCCAGATAGATTGTCTCACTATTACATATATATTATATATGGTTTGTCACCTAGTATGGCGTTAAAAGAAGTTGAAGAATTTTTATCTACATATTTGAATCTTCAAAACAAATCAATGGCGCTTCTATTGTCGATGAGAAATAAATCATTCAAATGTTTTTCACATACATGAAAATGTATGCATGCTGCTGGGAATATCCTACGGATATTAATATATATATCAAAAAAAGAAAACGGAAAATAATTTTCAACGCCTTCACTATTCGACATTATATCGAAACGGATTCCTTACGCCAACATTCCATTTATATGTAGACATAGATTCACATAAGTAAGATTGGAGAACGTTATGGCGATTTATATTGAAGTGTATATAAAGTAAGCGTATGATTTCTGTACGAGTGCCGTGACAGCAATGGTCTCTGTCTACAGACGCGACGATTGCTAGTTTAGTGAGTATAAAGTGGCCGTATGATTTCTGTACGAGTGACGGGACAGCAATGGTCTCTGTCTATAGATATAGAGTATTTACGAGGGTGTAACAGACAGTTATGCAACATTTTACAACCCCCATGTGCCCAACACGTAATAACACAACTTCATCATAACAGCGGCTTCAAACGGCAGACCAAAACCCTAACAGTTGACGAGCCAATTTCCCTATTTGATAAAGTAGCAATTTCAAAACGATAAAATAAATAAATATTGTTCTTGTCGTCATTTCTAGAAGAAGAAAGAATCATCGCCCCACAGAAAAATCAATTGTTCACATTAAGTTGAGGACAGCCCCATCCGTTAGACCTATAATTAAAGGCATTCAAGTAGGAGAGATATCAAGTTTATTATGTTACCGCTGCATTTAATTCTAGTAAATATGAAAACCCATTTTCTATCATCGCATGTGTCATTAGCGTTTTGATCTTAATGCTATTGAACCGTATACATGATTTGAGGTTATACTGCATGCAACTCCCATGGAAGCATGTAGGAGCGCGGCCAAAACGAGATATCAGTACGCCTGCGCTGTGAT